ACACACACACACACACACACACACACACACACACACACACACACACACACGTGTGTGCGCATGCGCGTGCGCACAGATGGGCAGCACACTGGCTCCAGGCCCCGACTCCCCTGAGGACCCTGTGTCTGCCTTGGCTGCTCTCTGCGTGAGCCCTCCCTCGGGTCCAAGCAGCGTGAGTGAAGCAGCCGCCGCGGCCCATAGTGCAAGTCCCGCCAGTCCGCGGACAGAACGTCCACATCAGTGCCCACGTTTGCTAACTGAAACACATCCAGAGGGTTTTTCACATTTATCCAAAAGCCTTCCCCAGACTAATGTGGGTCTTTCATAAAAGAAAAGGGTGGACTTGAACTTCTGGAAAGCTGGGAGACCTGTGCCCAGACCCCTGTGATTCCAGACCCGCTTGGGGATAAGATGGTGGAATTGCAGCTGGAGTTGTAAGGAACTTCTGTGCGGTTGGAGAGAAGGAGTCTCTTATCTTGTCAGGCTTCCCCGCCCCCGCACAGCCTTGTGGCTGCTGCCATGGCCCAGAGTCCGCCAGGGGCCCAAGTGCCTGTGCTGAGTCGTACACAGGCTGCCCATCAGCCTATTGGCAACCGCGGTCGGTTGATGCTGGGTTTCCTACACCGACGCCTGCTGGCGAGTGTCGGGAGCTTGCCTCTTCCCTTCCAACCTTCTCCTCATGCTCTGGTCTCGTGCTGTGGTCGCGGCCTCCACTGCACAGATGGGGAAACCAAGGCACAGGGCCATGGAGAGTGGGGACCCACACGCTCTGCCTCCTGTTCCCACGCCGGGGGCCTTGCTCTGAGGGCTGCTGGGTGGGCTGGAGGCCAGAGCAGAGCACGGCATCTCCCACAGGCCTCCCCCACAGCCCCAGACCCTGGGAGTCCCCTTTCCAGCTCCTCCGGCCACACCCACAGCCTTGGCACCAGCAAAGCGGGCTGCAGTTTCCTCCCAATGCATCCCACTCCCTTCCCGCTGTGGTCTAGCGCCCCCTGTGTGCTCCCGGGGCCCAGAGGCAGAGGCTCCTCTGACTGTCATGGGGTGGGGCCCTGAGCAGACACCGGGTGGGCTCATGGAAGGGATCCACAGGCTTGGTTGTGGGGGGTTAAGGGGAGATGTGGGGTCTGGGGATCTCGGGCTCCTGGTTTGGGCCCTGGAGCCTTCCAAGGGGGCTCCAGGAGGCAGCTGGCTGGCCTCATGGGGTGGGCCTCAGGACAGAGATGGGCTGGGTGGCCTTCAGCAGGGAAGCGAACCCACCTGCTGGGCTGGGCCAAGGGCAGTGGTCTCAAGTACAGTGAGGCGGGACCACCCATGGGGTTGCCCCCAAGACCACAAGCCACTGGCTGCACCTCCAGTGACCTGCACAGCACTTGAGAGCCAGGAGCCCGGTGGGGGACCCCAAGGGCTGGCACCTGGGCTGGGAGATGCACCCTAATGTGAACAGGCAAGGGCAGGGCTAGCGGCAAGGGGACTGGGTGTGGGGGGGTTCACTTTAGGGACTGGTGACTAGACCGCTTTCCTCCTTGCTGCTAGTGGGTTTGCCCTGTTGGTTTCCGTTGCTGTGGGGTGCTTCGTTGTGTAAGACACACCAGCTCCCCCTGAGCGTTCACAAGACGATGTTTCCAGTCTCTGATCATCAGGAGAGCTGCTGCCAACCTGCCTGCTCCTTCCCTGTGGGTCTACGTCTGTGGGGGGGGTGCCCGAAGCGGGGATACTGTGGCTACAACTGAGTCCACCTGCCTGGGAAAGGCTCATCAGACAGGCATCTGCACATGGTGGACCACAGACTGTCCCAGCAGCACCCTATGGGCACTGGGAGCATGGCCGCAGAGGGAGCATCACTGCAGAGGGAAAAGCTAGGAGTACGGCCTCAGAGGGAGAAGCTGGGAGCACAGCTTCCCATAAGTGTGTGGGGGCGCTGGCCACAGAGGGAGAAACAGGAAGCATCACTGCAGAGAGAGAAGCTGGGAGCACAGGCGTAGAGGGAAAAGCTGGAAGCACAGCCACAGAGGGATAAGCAGGGGAATGGCTGCAGAGGGAGAAGAAAGGGAGCATCACTGCAGAGGGAGAAGCTGGGAGCATGGCTGCAGAGGGAGAAGCAAAGGGAATGGCTGCAGAGGGAGAAACAGGGAACATTACTGCTGAGGGAGAAGCTGGGTCCACAGGTGATCAGAGCTGGCAGACCTTCAGAACTGTCCTGAACTGAGCCAAACAGCAGATCTTTCTACCAATGTCCACAGGTGGGCTTCCCAGAGGAGAGGCAGCTCTGAGGACCACACCCAGAGCAGACCCAGCTGTGAGCCACGAGCAGATAACACTACTAACAGCTGGGGAATGAAACCTGGATACCAGAGCAGATGCAGCTGAGAACCAAGGTGCCCCAGGTAGCCTGCCCCTGTGTGTGTTGGGGGGGGAACATGACCCCACGGAGTTGTCCCAGGCAGCCTGCCCCTGCTCCTGAGGGGAACACAACCCTATGGAGGTGCCCCGGACAGCCTGCCCTTGCTCCCAGGGAGGACACGACCCCACGGAGATGCCCCGGGCAGCCCGCCCCAAGCATCAACTGGATTCACTTTGCAAGTTCATCCCATTTGGGAACACTCTTCAGGACGATTCTACATGGTGCTCTTTCTTTCAGGAATTCGGAGTCCGAGTCAATTTCACAAACTGTGTTGGGAGGGTGTCCTCCTCCTTGTCCTCTGAAGTGTGTGTGAAATGAGTTCTTTCTTTTTTAAGCATTTGTTGAGGCTAATGATACAAGCCATCTAGACTTGCAAGTTCTTTGCAGAAGTGTTTCTAAGTTCAATTTCCTTAAGGTTATAGAGATACTCAGACTTTGCATGTTCCCTGTCGGTTTGGACAAGTGACTTTTCACTTCCCCGAGATTTCTGGTGTCCGTGACCTTGGGGGCAGCCTCTCTGTTTTCATCTGTCTGGCAGACTTTGATCAATTCTATTAATTTTTTCCAAGAACCAACTGTTGACTTTGTTGGTCCTTTGCCACCTGACTAATTCCCTCTCATTTGTTCCTTCAGCCCGTCGACGACCTCAGACTTAATCTGTCATTCTTCGTCCAGGTGCTCAGGTCCCGCTCTTCAGGGCTGCTCACACTCCTGCTCAGGCTGTGCTTTCCTCTTGTGTGTCTCCCCTCTGGGAGAAACAGAACAAAGGCAAACAACCAAAGACAGAAAGGCCAAGAACAGCCCAGAATTGAGTGGAGACACAAAGCCCCCAGCTCCAGGAGGATGATGAGTTCTGGGAGGAGGAGCAGGGGGGTCTGGAAACCAGCCAGGACACCGCGTGGGACGACGGAGGCCCAAAGACGATGGAAGGGCATGTGTGCAGAGGGAAGGCAGCTCCCAGCCCAGAATCCTGTCCCCCGCAGACGCCTAATCAAATGTGGACAAAACCAAGGCGTTTCCCCATAAGCTCTCTCAAAGGGGCTCTTGTCCCCAGTGCCTCCCCTGGTGCAACCATGTGGGAAAGACCGCTGACGGGTGAGCTCCGGGAGGCATAGCGGTGGCTTGGGCCAGGGCATGGGGGGGGGGGGGGAGACACTGGCTGGGGGAGGCTCTATCCCTGCCCCTAGGGCGCCATCTAGCCAGAGACTTGGGAGCAAGCCTGGACCTTGCGGGTGCCTCTCGGACCATGGGCCAGTGCAGGGCAGGGGTGCAGGACCTGAGGGCACCAATGAGCCTTCCAGGAGAACCCGTGAAAACTGCCGGCTGGGACGAGGATGACCATTTGGTCCCGAGCTACTGTGAGGAAAGGACCACTCTGCTTCACGAGTGTCTGCGAGCTGGCAGACCAGAGGTCCCTGCAGCCTTCCGGGCCTTCCAGAACTGTCAAGGCCGCGGCATCTGCTCTTGCCCCAGGCAGGCCCCAGGGAGGCACATGAGGGAGAGAGGGGGCCGCGCCCTGGCTGCCCCACGGCAGCAGCTTCTGAGCCTGGACCCACTATCCCCGCCAGGACCACTGACCCCCAGGGTTCCCCAGGGCCACCAGTGGCAGCCAGGACTGGGGCCTGCCAGAGTCCCTGGGAGGCGAAGCCACTGAAACAGACGCTGGGCCTGCCGGCTCTTTCTGGGATTTTTATTTCTTTAAAATAATTCATACAAATGGTTACAGTCACAAACATGATTTTAACCCAAATATTGCTAGCCTACCACATCAGCAGGACGGCACCCGCACAGGCCGGACGCTGGGCCCCACGTCCCCGGGACAGACGCCAACGGCCGGAGTGCGCTGTGGCCCAGGCGCGGCCTCGTCTCTGGCAGCCGTCTTTGTTTGGAACAAGGGGATTCATGCCAAAATTAGGAAAAACAGCCTTTGTTTTGTTTTTCTAAATTATTCTAAAAATAAGACAAGCAGGTAGAAAAAACAATGCACTGTGTGGCGTAGAAAGAAAAACGGGAAGGATTCGTTGTCCTGAGAAGTTTGCCAACTGCCTCGTTTCAGGGCGCGTTCCAACACACAAGGGACACAGTCTGAGACCGACCTGCTGAACGCTCCCTCAGCTTTCTCTCTGTCGACAGCTACGCAAACAAATCCTTTGTAATGTTCTAAAGACTGTACACAGACAAGAACATCCATGATAGAGTTAACTACTAACTTCTTCTGCTTAACGAGGACGCAAAGGACACAGGACAGCGGCTGGCCCTTGGGACAGGACGACTACGGCTGACGCGGGGAGGCCGGCGCCACCTCTGCCTGCCGGGCGCCTGGACAGTCTCTGGAGCGCCGCGGCCACCGCAGGCACCGCCTCTGCACACGCCTGTCCGAGGGCACCGCCCGGCCCGCGCTCCGCCCGGGCTACAACTGGTCGCTCGCGTGGTCTCTATCTGCCTCGGGCTTGACGGTCTGGCCAGGAGAAGGGGCGTGGGGTGGGTGGGACACGGGGGGCAGGCCGTGGGACAGGGACATAGCGCTGGGGACAATGCCTTCCACTGCTGTCGGGATGCCGCTGGGGGCCACGCCCACCACACCTGGTGGGTACCTGCTGGGAGAAGGGACGTCGTGTGAGGCTGGCAGGGTTCCTCCTGTGGCCGTGGCTCAGGCCTAGGATGGCTGGGGGCTGCTCCCAAAGGCCCTGCCTGGCGGGACCACCCCCTCCAACTCTTCCCTCGCCTTACCACCCACCCCCAGGTCTGACATGCCCAGCTCTCACCCCCAGATCTTCTGGTCCATGGGGCCCACAGGAGCACGCCCATCCAGATAACCCCCCACCCCCAGGACCCCGCCCACAGTCATCACAGAAGTGCTGTCCCCTGAGCCCACCCCACCCACTCACCTGTAGGCGGCACCGTTGAGCTCAGGGTGCACGACAGCAGGATCCATGCTGGCCCAGTGAGTGGCAGCAGTCAGGTGGTCCTTGTTGACACAGTTTTTCAGGCTGTCAGGGATGCGGCCTGGAGACGCAGCGGGGATGCGAAGGGCAGCATCATGTTACACGTCACACAGCTGCATCTGGGAGTGCGGTGGCTTGGGGGGGGTGTGCGCAGGCTGCAGGGTCCCCACGGCTGGGCCTCCCTCCCTCTCGCTCTCTTCCCCTTGTCTGGATGCGGTCCCCTGACAGCTCAGAGACCCCCCCAGGCCCGAGCAGTGCCCTCAGCTCCCCCGTGGCCCCATATCTACCAGGCCCAGGGATTTCAGGGAACAGCAGACAAAGTCCAGCCCAGCTGAACCAGCACAGCCAGACTTGGGGTAAGGAAGGGCATACATGCTGGATTCCCACAGGGTAACCGTGAGCAAGTGTCCTAAGTGTGACGCACCAGGGGGACCAAGGGCTGCGTGGGGAGACCATGTGTAAACCGCGTGCTGATCTCGCCCCTGGGGGGATGGCATGAGGCGGGCCCTCTGGTAGGACTGCCTGGCGATGCAAGCCTGGGGAGGAGGCTCGGTCCTGCTGGCCCCCCTCACCTGTGATGGCTCTCCGGATTTCCCGGGCGGCCTCCTCTCGCATCTCGATGGATGCCTGCTCGCTGTACCAGGCTGCGTGGGGGGTGCAGATCAGGTTGGGTGCGTCCTTTAGGGGCCCCTGGCTGAAGCTACAGACGGTACGAAGCAGGTCAGGGTAGGGCAGAGGGTACCTGACCCCGCCTGGCACCACAGTCCACCCTGGGGTCAGACCAGGGCACCCCAGGTGGGTGACACTGGCCATGAGCCCAGGGGGAAGGAGTCAGAAGCAGGGAGGAGTCCCAGCCTGGGGTATAGCATCCCAGCGCTCCCAATAGGGAGGGCACCAGTCCCCACAGTGACAGGCTCCCGACAACAGGACTGGCTGCTGCCCCAGACGGGCTTCTCAGCGGTGGGGTCCTCAGAGAAAAGTGGCCGCACTGGGGTCAGTGGACCCCTGCACCGGGGCACCCCCAGACAGTCTACATGAAGCACAGGTCCGAGCCCCCCCGCCCCGTCCCCTGCCCGCAGCTGGACCTCAGGCTGGACCTAGAGCCCTAGGACGGGGCCCACAGACTGCAGGGGGGCATCAGGCCCGGCCTCACGCCCGACCGGGGTCAACATGGGCCGTGAGCCAGCGCGAGGGCCTGGCATGGGAGAGGCGGCAGCCAGGAATCACCCAGGTGCTGCCGAGAGGCACCTGAAGGGCTCGGACTCGTGCACATCTAGGGCGGCACCCCGGATCCGCCCCTCCTTCAGGGCCTGGGCCAGGGCCTTCTCGTCCACCAGGCCACCCCGGGCCGTGTTCACCAGGAAGGCGCCTTGTCGCATCTGTGAGGAGACAAAAACAGTGTGGCAGTGAATCAACACAGGCCTCTGCCCTTAGCCCCCGCCAACACCCAGGGGACAGGACTGGCAGGGACTCGAAGCAGACAGGGGCTGGCAGCAGGACGAGGGCTCAGGGGTCTGTGCAAACTGTGCCCCACCCTGAGGATGCCTGGCTGGGCCACAGGCGCCAATATGCAGCCTGCCTCCACCTGTTCCTGGCAGTGAGGTGCGGGCTGGGGCATAGGGTGTCCTGGCCCGGCCCCTAGGATGCACTGGAGAGCCTAGAAAGGGTGTGGTATGTCTAGGACGCACTGTGGCCAAGAGTGAGGGACACAGGCCCTAAGTCAGCTTCCTCAGTGCAGCAGCCCCACCAGAGGCCCCCGTTTCCAAAGCTTGACAGCAGCTTCATCTCCCTTTGCTAAAGGCCCTCAGAGCTGCCCTGAAGGCGCTCCCCTTCAGGCTCCGTGGTAACGGGGGCTTCCCCTGCGCCAAGGAGATTGAAGGGACAGACTCCTAGAGACCAAGTAAGCTGCCCCTACCTCGGGGCTCAGGGCAGCTCCTCCTCGGTCAGCTCTCCCATCCTGGTTTCACAGCTGGTTCTTGGCAACAGCACCCCAGGGCCACGCCCACCCTGGCCCTCTGTCCACACCCACCGATGGCAGATAGATAAGACCCCAAGTGCCAGACCTCATGCTCCCTAAGGGAGCAGGGACCGTGGTGTACAGCACACAAGTACAGGGCAACTGGCAATCGGTGTGCAAGCACGCACACACACACACGCACACAGATGACCACACATCCCCACACCCGCAGGCTACACCCAGGACAAGGCCCGAGACCCTGAGCGCGGCATGTGCTGCAGCCGTGGGGACGCCGGAAGCCTCGGTACAGCTCCAAGTGCAGGCTGGTCTGCAGTGGGCTCCCCAGCCTGTGGGTGCACCCACCTGCTTCACGGTGAAGTCGTTGATGAGGTGGTGGTTGTGCTCATTGAGGCCGCAGTGCAGGGTCACACAGTCACTGTGGAAAAGCAGGTCCTGCAAGGTGCTCACCCGCTGCAGCCCCAGTGCCCGCTCGGTGCCGTCCGACAGATACGGGTCATAGAAGAGCACGTTGAAGCCGAAGGCCTTGGCCCGGAGCGCCACCGCCTGCCCCACGCGGCCTGACAGGGCGAGACTTGGCGTCAGCACAGCCACGGACAGAGCAACACCCACACAGCCTGTATCCCCACGGACCTAGGGCTGACACCGAGGGGAGCGAGGCCCTGTCTGCCCCGGGGCCCCTGCCCGGCCGTGTGGCGGACAGGGCATTTGGAGAGGAGGGCAGGGGGCTGGAGGGGCTCCCCGGGGAGTGTACGGGGTGACAGCCACAGCATCGCAGGTGTGTCCCCTGCACCTGGGAGGGTGCAAGCCAGATGGCTCACAGTCCCGTACCTGAGGAGGCAGGTGCCAACCTGGACACCGGGGTCCACCAGGCAGCCAAGCGCTGGGCGGTGGTGGCCACGGTTCCAACATCTCAGGTGGCTCCCCCCAACCCCTGGACCTTGCTCTGAGCAAGATGCTGACAAAGAAAACAAGCAGGGGATGGAATGGGCCCGTCTGCACCTGCCTGCCAGAGAGCATCTGCCATAAGGGCAGGGTCACCAAGGCCCCAGGGAACCACCCTGCCCATGAGTGACCCCAGGTGAGGCCAGAGTGGAGCCATCCTGCCAATTCTACCCAAAACATGAACCCACAGCACCGTGAGGTCAAGTACCGGCTGTCTCCTCCTGTCTACCTCCCGACACAAGCTGGCAGACGGCACCTGACATGTACCCAGACCCGGACCACGGTGTAAACAGTCACAAAATGGCGCCCTGGTGTCAGACTAGACTGAGCATCTGACTCCTGACCATGGCTTGGGCCACGACCTCAGGGTGGGGAGATGCAGCCCCACCAGGTCGGGGCTGCACTGAAGTCAGACCTGCTGAGTCTCCCAACAACACTGCTTCAGGAGGCCAGGTGGCCCCCAAATCCAGCCAGCCAGGCAAGCCCAGCTCCCCACCAGCCCCCAACAACCCCACCCCAGGCCCCAAGGTGCAGGGTGCCCCTGGGGACCAGTGCTGGGGGACGCGTGCCCACGGGCACCGAGACAGTGAGCTCTCCTGGACGAGAAGCCCATGTTGTGGACAGCCATGGCCCTGGAGTCTTATACTAAGGCAGGCATGTACCTGTCAGGTGTCCCCCACGTGGCCCAGTAGGGGACAAGTGGGGTAGGGACAGGCAAGGGGCCCCCCAGAGGAAGGGCAGGAAGCAGTGCGACAAGCGGCTGCTAGTGAGTTCCCACCCCATCCACCCCGGGCCTCCCAGGTGCACAGATCTCAAGTTCAGAGATGGAGACGGACCATAAACATGGCAGAGGAGAGGGCTGTCACCGACCCCGAATGGCTGCCCTCACCACGGGTGAACCAGCTCGCTCCACCCACAGCAGGGCTGGGGCCATCTGGCCCTCACCTGAAAGCCAATTCCCCTCAACCATGGGGTGGGGCGGGGGGGCGGCAGGAGGAGCATGTCCGAGTGTGGTGAGGACCCATCAGTGTGCGAGTGACAGGCATGAGTGCACGGCTGTATGCACAGGAATGGGATCGGGGCCCTGTTGCCCGTGTGTGTGTGATCCACACTCAGCACTCCTGGGCAGACAGGCCAGCCCCATGCAGGCCCTGTGCGGGAAGACTATCCGGCAGCCCCACCAAGCCCTGGCTCACGGGCTCTGAGCCCCTGCAAAGGGTGAAGACGGAGCTGAACTCACCCAGTCCAATGATGCCCAAGGTCTCCCCGCGGATCCTGGCAGCTCCAGAAGCCACTTCCCGGATCTGCTCCACGCTCTGGACCCGCGTGCCCTCCCGCAGCGCCTGGTGCAGCCACGTGGTCCTGCGATACAGGTTCAGGATGTGGCACATGGTCGAGTCGGCCGTCTCCTCGACAGACGCCGCTGGCACATTGCAGACAGCGATGCCTGAGAAACACAAGACACATGGGGGCGGTCACCCAAGTCAGTCCTGGCACTCCCTCCTCCCCACAAAAGATCGGACTATGAGACAAATGCAGGGAACACACCCCAAGCCACCTGGAGAAGCTGCCTGTAGGTCCAGCAAGTAGACAGGATAGGATGTAAGAGAGGCCACCTGGGCAAATGCCAACACCTGGGTCTGCCCTGCCTGAACCGCTGGCCACTGGACCTTCCAGGAAGGGGTCACGGGCTGGTTGGCATCCGGAGCGTTCCACAGCCTCACACACCCACACAGGCCCCACCTAGCCTGCCTTCGTTGGCTCCCAGGCCAACTGGGACCCAGCATTGGACAGGGTGGTCCCATTCTCCCAGCTCCCACAGACCCATCAGCCCCAGCAGCCACAGACAGAGAGCTGGTCCAGGCCTCTCCTCTGCACTGAGCTTCGCTGGCTCGTCCCGTGCCCACATGGGCTGGTTACCACTGGGGGCCAACGGTTCGCCAGGGCCTCATGGTCCAGAGGTGGACCCAACCCCTCCACGTTTCTATGCGCCTCTCCCAAGCCTGGCCCCTTCCACCCTCGTTCTGCCCTGTCCTGCCATCTCCTCGCTCTGCCTGGGGACTAGTCACCTCCCTGCTTGCCAGAAGGAGCTCTGATGCTCCTTGAGCAGCTATTCCAAATGCCAAGACAATACTCAACACACCCACAGGGCTCCATGAGAGGGCCCAGGGTGGACCTCTACTCCCTTCCAGAAAAAACTCAGGGCCCAGGGTGGACCTCTACTCCCTTCCAGAAAAAACTCATAAATGCAAGGACAGGTGGGAAGCAGGAGAACCATGCTATGCCATCCCCTAGATTTGGGGACAAAACTGCTGGTGGAGAGCACAGACCAGGTCCTGGGATTTCTAAGTCCCCACCTACCAGGGCTGACCACAGGGCATGGCCCTGCCTGTCCCAGGTGCAGGAGCAGAGCCCTGGCTTGTAACATCACAAAACAGGCAGACTTGGTACACAGGGACAAAGGCCCCCAGGAGCCCATGGGGCAGAAAGCACGCAGGCCATGGTTCCCCACAGCTGCAGGAGCCTTCCTTGGGAGGCTGCCCAGGAACAGGCGACAGTAGGGCCAGAGGGCTCCACTATGTGAGCCAGTGCTGGGCAGGGGCTGCCCACGGTCCTGGGCAGGTTTACTCTGCACAAGCAGAGTAAACCAAGTCTGTGGCAGACACCGACACCAGGCCACTCTGACTCCAGCGCTGTCAGCGGCCTTCCGGCTGAAAGGACGGGCAAAACCAGGCACCGGGGGCACCCCCTGCAGTTGCAAGCCCTGGGCACACACTCACCTCACCAGGCCTCAGCTGCTACAGACACACAGAACGTGCATGCCCCCCACAAGGCTTCCTCTGAGAGCTGTGCTGACCTGGGTGCCGGCATGGGGGCCGCACCCTGACAGCAGGCTCACAAGTCGCCTCCAACCAAACTAGGGGCTGCGACGCAATCCTTGGTGTAAAGCGAAGCCAGCCCACAAGACTAAAGAGCTGGGATGCAGCCGCTAAGGGAAAGGCTGCGCACGCCCTACCTAGATCCCCAGCTGACTTGATGTCGATGTTGTCGTAGCCGCTGCCAATCCTGACAATGACACGCAGAGCCTTGAACTTCTCCAGGTCCTCCCGGGTCAGCGCGATGGTGTGGTACATCAGTGCTCCCACTGCCTCGTTCAGCACCTGCCGTCAGGACAGCAGCCACCCAGTCAGACGCTGGCCCTCAGGGAACGAGCCTGGCTGCCTATGGGCTAGCCTGCTACTCCCAGGCTCCAGCTGCCCCAAACCAGCCCAGACAACCCCCTGGGGGGCAGGGGGTGCTGCAAACGCTCCCCCCACCCCCAGCCTGGAGGCAGGCTTGGACAGTCCTTAGAGGCCCACAGTTCCCCCGGGTCTCCTCCCCTAACTGCACTGCAGGCGGCCTTCCCAGGGCAGGAGCCCCTGCTGGGATATTGGGGTGGGCAACTCTGTTGGCTCTGGGCTCGACTCCCCAAGCAGCGCAGGGTCCCGCCCAGGGGACACCACTGTGTGTGTGCAGGGGGAGGGGGGAAGGAGGGGTGTGGGTTCACCTTCCCTGTGGGCACCAGTGAAACAGGATGCTGAGGACGAAGAGCATCCAAAACCCCCAGACCCTGCGAGGGCCACGCTGTCGCACTATGGGGCGGTGGGTGTGGAGGGGGCAGACAGCAACAAACGGTCCCAGCACAAACACACACAAGGTCCCCAGACGGCAACGTGCCCCCGGGGAAGGGCCGGCCTCTGGGTCACTGTCCCCCACACCCACCCCACGTGCTCCCCTGCAGCTTCCACAAACGGGGGTGAGCTCCACGACAGCCCTGGACGCCTGCCCTGGTGTCCATGGGTCTCTGTGGCCTGGCTGACCTTGCGAGAAGCCCCACGAGCAGGTCGGTATCCTGTCTCCCCAGGGTTTGGATGACATGTGCTGAGGACACTCTGTAAAACTGTCCAGTGGGGAAAACCCTCCCCAAAGTTGGGGATCCACCCACAGCCCCGCCCCCACAGGAGTCGTAACTTGAATTCTCCATGGGTGAGGACAAGCCCTGAAAAGGCAGGCCCATGCCGAACCCACGCACACCATACCCACGCCCCGCACAGGGCCAGGTGGAGCAGACCACGCACTACGCCCCAGGCCGGGTCAGGTCGGTGCAGACCACGCCCCACACTGCTGCTGCACTATCCCCAGCATGCACAGCAACCGCCCCCCGCCCCCCCGGTGCCTTGGAAATGACTGAAGCCCCCAGGTGTGACCCAGCCAGGCTGGGGGGGCCGGTTGGGGACACCCAGCTTCTCGGGGGCTTGTCCCGGGTCCAGCAGGGCGGTGGGCCTGTGCCCCAGGGCCATGAGCGCTGCCTTAAAGGGCTGTAGTGTTGCACCTGGGACACGCTCTGACGACAGCCAGACGCTGGCAGAGGGCGTGCACTGTCCAATCTCCCGGCCCAAGGGCCGGGGAACCCAGGACGCAATCCATGACCTGTCATGGTTGAGGTGTGGGCTTTACTCGCCCCTGGCAGATACAACAGTGAGCCTTACAGCCGAGGACACGTCACATTCAGCAAAACGCTACAGGGCATCTATAACCCAGTGTGGGCCACCCCGTCCTCCTCCACACGGGGGTCTCAAGGATGGCGACGGAGGCCCGTCCAACAGCAGGTGAGGGAGGTTGCCCCAGGGGCTGTGGCAGGCTGCTGGCCCACAGGCCCCATGCGTGAGCCAGGGGCACCACAACCCTCCCAGCCTGCATGTGGGTTGATGTGCTGAGTGGCCTAGAGCAGTGTCTCATGTGGGGTATGTGGCCTACAGTGAGCTGCCCACTCTTCCTCTCATCCCCTTCCCCCAAGAGCTGAGTCTCTATCAGACAAATGGCAACCCAAAATGCGGACAGCTCCCTCTGAGGCTGGCATGACCTCCCTTCCCCTTCTAATGGCAGATGGGGCCAGGAGCACTTGTCCTTAGGGGACCACACAAAATAGGTGGAGGAAGAGACGATTAAATAGCAGGACAGAGGCGGCATAGGTTCCTGGTCCTCGGAGCACTGGCGGGCCTGACGTTAAGGGAACGGTTGGGTGTTGCTGGCACCTGCTAGGATTCCTACACTGAAGATTCTAGAAATCTCAGCTCCTGTTCCTACACCAAAGACCCCAGGAACCCTGGCTCCTGATCCCGCACTGAAGATCTCAGGAACTCCAGCTCCTGATCCTGCACCGAAGGTCCCAGCAACCCTGGCTCCTGATCCCACACTGAAGATCCCAGGAATCCCTACTCCTGATCCCACACCAAAGATCCCAGGAACCCTAGCTCCTGATCCTGCACCGAAGGTCCCAGCAACTCCGGCTCCTCATCCCGCACTTAAGATCCCAGGAAGCTCAACCCCCGGTTCCCACACTGAAGATCCCAAGAAGCTTGACCCTGGTTCCCACACTAAAGATCCCAGGAAGCTCAGTCCTGGATTCCTGGGAGGACATCAAGGCCGCACAGGCATGGACTCCTGGTTACCTTGACTGGACCTGGTGTAGGTGGGGTGCGGGCCCACATGGGACAGCTGAGTGGCGGTGAGTGTCCACAGGGCAAAGTGCATGGGGACGGCAGCTAGTAAGTGGACACGGTGAGGGCCTGAGATGGAGGGGAGAGCAGACCTTGCTGACAAGACCCGAGGAAGACCCCCTCTGGCCACCCTGTGCTGAGTTGTGTGGACTGGAGAGGAAGGTGGCCACAGCAGTGGGGGGTGAGTGGACAGATTCGTCAGTGCCTACTGTGGGCAGACAGAGCCGTGCACTGGGAACAGAAAGATGCATCCAGGCCAGCATGAGCACCAGCAGCCCTGGACTCAGGGACAGAAAGACTGTAGAGAGGAACTCTCCAGAGGTGAGCCTGAGTCTCTGGCCTGGGCAGCGGGACACACGTGGACCTCCTCCTGAGATGACCATGGGGAGGAGGCTTAGCTGTGAACAGGCGGGGAGGAAGAGCCTCAGAGCACAGGCCAGCGGTGTGCGTGCAGATGGCAGCCTTCTATCTATCTTGAGCACTGAACCACGGCAGTAGTCGGTCTCCAAATCACAACTTAGTCCCATGTTCCACCCTGACACCGACAAGCCATGATTCTTCCGGACGTTCCCTACTGCTAGGGCTTCTAGACTGCTTCCACTGTTGGCTGGGCCATAGTAAAAATGCATGGTTTCCTTGAGCTGAGTCCATAGGGTGGAAACTAGCAGGTGTGCCGGAGATCCATCTGTGAGGCTCCGGGGATGGCCACCAGCTGCCCCTAGCAGTATACCCACCCTCGAGCATGGACTGCACAGCCCTGGGTAGGCCGGAGAGCAAAACCCCACACGTGGTGCATACAAACTGGCATCCGTTGTTTTCACCTTAATTTGCATTTCTGAGGGTGACCTGCCCACATAAGTCTCTTGATAAATTACTTTTTCACGTCCTAGTTGTTTATCTGCCGAGCTTATTTTTAATCACATGGAACCCAGTGAAGCATTCTCAGAACCGGGACCAGAACCCACTTGGTGGCTGCCCAACCCTGACCCTGGGCCAGGGAGGCCCCACTCAGCTGCAGGTTGGAAGCCTGCTGCATGGGCAGCTCTGTCCAGAGGGATGCAGGCCTGGGCCACTGTACTGCTCCAGCCAGCCCCTAGGTCCACTGTCCTTGCAGGTTCCTCTTATTCCTGGTTGTGACTGCAAAGTGGCCAGGATAGCCCCAGGTATCACAAAGACCTCCCAGGGAGGAAGTTGGCAGGAATCCCCAGGGCCCAGTCTGTCTCTGTAAGCTGGAAACCAGCAAATGTCCATTCACATCACCCTCTACCAGCTGTGTGACCAGGTGAGTGACCTGTGTCCTTAGCCCCAGAATGGGGTGCACGGGGCCCACCTTGCAGAATGAACCCATAGCCCTGGGTGTTCCCAGTGGTAGCAGGGCCTGAGGGAAGCCAGGTCTGGCTGGCCAGAAGGATTCCTACTGGTAGGCCCATCACCACAGCCCACCACACCATCCCAGAGGTGGGTGCCCCGCTCACATCCTTCACACACAGACATGCATGATTCATAAGCGTCCCGTGACTTCTGTAGATTTTACTTACTTTCTGGGTCATTTTGTGCGGCTTCAGCTCAGAAAAATGTGGCACAGGGCCTCCAACATACTTCTCTATGGTTCCAGACACTTCCCTGTGACAAACAGCCACGTGCAGGTCCTTCAGGTCTGCACAGCCGTGCCGAAAGCCCACCAGAGCCAATGTGGCCATGCCCCCTGCGGAGCAGGAGCGGTGCCTCACGCCTCTAGGTGTGCCCATGGGGTGGGGACAGTGTTATCTGCTTACCAGTCACTCTGTCTTTGCCCAAACGCCCCCTCTGTCACCCACCTTCTTCTGGGAGTCTGATCATCCGCCATCAAGCCCTGGCCGTTGCAGGGACTGCCACTGTCCACCCACTTCTCATATGTTCTGTTCTTTCTTTAGCCACGATTGTTTCTGATTGCCTCTGAATCAAACGACTTTCCCTGTACGCGGCCCCATTTTGTGTACCCATGTATCTCACTCAGGTAGGAAGCACGTCCCCTCCAGAAGGTCCCCTAATACATCTGCTGTGACGCGTGCACACCTGCAGCCGTGCCGGGCCTCACTTCCCCACCCTCTCCCCTTCCCCAGGGGGTCTGTCCCATCGACTCACAGGCACCGACACAGCCCAACTTTCTGCCCGGTTGCTGGGGCTCTCCTGCCCCCCTCCGCTCACATCTGAGCCTATTTCTGCAAGTGCCTAGACGCTCTCCTCATGTCTCCCTCCCAGGACTGGCTCCTCGCGGTTTTCCCTGGCATGTCCCTGAAGTGCCGCCTTACTGCCCACTGCTACAGGTGTCCCGCTTTCCCAGATGTGCTCCTGGGGGCCCCCTGCTCCAGGTCAGCAGAGAGCACCCTCCCACCCCACGCAGCCCTCTCTCTTGAGGACCCCTTCCTTTGGGGCTGGAGGTCTTCAAAGAGCTCTCCAAGAGAGTAACGGAAACACCCCGCTCCAGTTCGGTCAGACACACAGCGCTAAGTGAAAGCTGTTTTCCCCGGAAGTTATAAAGCACCTGGCGTGGGGCTGGTCTGATTCTCATCTCTTTGCCGGGAACACTGGGGCAGCAGAGCATCCTGTGAACCCTGTTCTGGGTTCACACTGTGAGAGCTAGTCTCCGCTGACCTTAGAAGGTTTCTTCAGCATGACGTGCTGAGGATGGCACGGTCTGTCCTCTGTGACACTCGGCGTCTACCATATAGCTAGTTACAAGGGTCCACAGAGATGCGTCGTTTCCCTCCAAGCCAAAGCCTGCAGACAGGTGGTCCAGGGCCCTGGGTCAGCTCCACAGCCAGCAAGGGCCAGGGCTTCTGTCTTGTTGCTTGGTCAATCCCAAACATGGTTCCCCTTATGGTCCAGGTGGTTGCACAGGCAGAGAAGGGAGCTCTGCTGTGCTCTCCCTGGCTGGACTCTGTCACTTGGCCACAGCATCAGCAAGGCTCGGGAAAGGAAGCGCGTTTCCCCGGACATGGGCTACCCGAGGCCTTCGGCCACACCCAGCAAGGAGCTCCCCTTTAGCCTCCTCACTTCGTCTTCCTCCCAGGCTCCCCTTAACTGCATCTTCCAGGCCCCTTGTTAAAATTTAAATCTTCCACTCGCATGTTTAATTTCCAAGAGCACCTTCAAGTTCTCAGATGACCCCTTTCGGTACTGCTGGCTGCACGGGTCTTGCGAGGGCTCACTCCCGCTCATCTCCAGAGCACCACTCACAGGGCGGCTTTCCTGCACACTCACCCATTCTCCAGATGGGCGCCGTCCATGAGCTGGCGCGGGGCAGAGTCGCCAGCTCGCTGAGGCTGTCCCTGCCCTTCCCCGGGTCTCTGACTCGCTTCTCTAGGTCGTATGCTAACTTGAGATCATTTTGGTAAATTACAATCTTAAAGGAAAACATCCGTTTTGTCTTAGTTTTCAGATTTATTGACAGAACTTGTTTTAATATTGCTCACAATTTTTAAACATTTCTATCTGTCTCTTTCATTTACTATCTCTGACTTTTTCTATCTTTTTTAGTTCAAAACGGTTTCACATTCACAGAGAGTTGCCAGAAGCTGCCCTCCCCAACTCTGCAGCCTGTCTGTCCACCGTGCCTGCACGTGCGCAGACGAGCGGCTCTAGCCCCCGGCGGTGAGAGCACCCCCAACCCCGAACCCTGGCTACTCTGCTCCATCCTCTGACCATGTCGCTGAGACGAGCAGAAGCACACAGCACCGAGCCCCACGCGCCAGCCGCATCGCACATGCTCCTCCCATGGCCCAGGACACTCGGGCGCCCCCGTGCTGCCAAGGCCACCGGCTTCTTCTGCTTCCAGGGAGCAGGGCCACGGCCACACTTGAGAGCAGGATTCGGCGGACACTGAACTTCGCCTTTCTGGGGCAGACACCAGGAGTGTCACCGGCAGGCACATCACGGCATGTGCCTGCTCCAGAGGGACCACAGCCGGTTGGTGGGTGACACCTCATCACGTTCCTGCACAACTCCAACCCCACTGGGTCCCAAGGTTTCTGTCAACGGCGCTGGACCCTCAGCTGCCCCACCTCCGTCCCCTCCTGACCTGTCCCCTCCTGCTGCGTGAGGACCCTCTGGGTCTTCTAGACTTTCCCCAAAGCTGCTCCCGGAGCTGTCAGCTCCTCGTGAGGCTGCAAGCCCAGTCTTTCTCTCTGCCCGTGTCCTCGGTCCTGGGACAGACATGCAGCAGGAAACGAGTCCTGGGGATGACTTGAGGCCCGGCCAACAGGCCTTTCCTGAGCAGAGGACTGTCTTTTGCTCCTACCGGCACCCTGGGACAGCAGGATCCCCATTCAAGGCTTGCTGTGGCGGCTACCAGGCTGCATGGTAGGTAGTATGTGGGCACAGCTGCATCCCATCCATCCTGGCGCCAGGACCCGGACCTAGACCCAGGGCGTCAGCTCCGCTTCCAGAAGGGCAGACACCCCAGGCCTAAGGTACTTGACCACCAGCCAGGGACAACCTGGGAGACCAAGGCGGGACCAGATGACACAGCTCATGGGCCCCCACTGCTGTCGGCCTCATCCATGGCACCAGGCTCCACACTCTGGGAACATGTGGTTACAATGGCAGTGGCTCACAGAGCCACAGAGTAGCCCTAGGTCTACGTCAGCAGGGGGTATAACGGGGCCCCAAGTCTTGGTGGCCTGGAAGCCACGGAGGCACACGCTTGAGACCCTGCCCAACTCGCTCCCCCGAGCAACCCGCAGTTACCTTCTCGTGGATCTCCTGCGTGGACTGCGCATCACAGAAGGCCACCGTGGCCACGTCCTTCAGGATGGGCATCTCCACCGTGCAGTCCCGGCCATCGAGCAGGGCCACCAGGGGCCGGGGGTGCATGGGCCCGTTCATGATCGGGGGTCGGACGCCTACAGAGACAGGAGTGATGCTCAGTGCCCATGGTGGCCCCAGCAGAGACCTCGCTTCCCCTGCCACCCACCACCACCCATGGCCCCACGAGTCCCAAGTGTCCACCCGTCAGGATCTTGTCAAACCTGAGTAAAAACACCTCTCCTAAAAGCCACCCCGTGTCAGCTACGGCTCACCGACCCCAAACGAACAAGGACCCCAGCCGACCGGCACCCCCGCCACAGGACTTGGGGCCCAGCCACATGTGGAGGTGCCAAGGCAGCCCTGCACCAGGATCTGGACAGTCTTGACCAGGCACACGCAGACTATGACGTCACCGGCTTCCAGACAGCACCCACTGGCCCTTTTCCATCCGCGGCTGCCACATGGCTGCCCAGAAACACTGACGGGACCATCCCCCAGGCCCGGCGCCCTCTTACGCACAGAAGGTACAGAGGTGGGGAAGGGCTAAAACACGGGGGACGCAGCTGGAACCCCCGACCTGCCTGGAACAAGATACCAACAACTCCTTTCGGAGGAGAGGTAAGCCTGCCCTGACCTGCACCAAGCGGATACACGAGGCCTCCCAGGTGACCAGACCCACGGCCTCGCCAAGACCAGCCCAACCACCACACAGGCAGCCCTCCCGCGCAGGAGAACGGGGGCAGGAACAGCGGGCTGCCCAGGGCCCGGAACCCAGCTGTGGCCTGCCCCCACCCCGCCCCGGGCAGGAGATTCACCCTCCGCCACGTGACGGGCACAGACCTGGCAGCCCCGCTGGCGGCTCTGTGCGGGCCCCTGTGAGGCCAGAATGCCTCCTGGGCTGTGTCCCCCACTCCCTGGCGAGCAAAGTGATTCCTGCCCCTGCAGGGTGACAGGTCACCCGCAACCGGGCAGACAACACAGGAGTCCTGTGTGTGGGGACCGCGCCACTCCTCTCCCTGGCCTTCCTTGGAGAACGGCGATGTCTCGTGGGAGGGTTATCTATGTGCTCGGAGCGCGCTGATCATCACTGCTTCTGAGTGAACTGGAAAATGCCTACCACCGCGTCCTTTGGCTTCAGTTTCTAGAGAACACGGCCTGATGGACTGCCTGTGAGGGGAGCTTGTGGCACAGCTACGAGGCCGTGAGAAAGGCTGTAGCATGTGGGGGGAGCTGCCACCAGGTACGAGACACCCCCAGCCGCCAGAACCTGCCGTGACCCACTGGGCAGCATACAAAAGGATGCTGCCTCCTGACCCCAAAGTCGGCACCAGAACAGGCCTCAGGTTTCTATGGTAACACGGAGCTCATGGGAGGACTACCAGAACAGACCTACTGGCAACCTGTGAGGCCTGGCCCACCAGTGGCTTCAGGCCTCCGTCCGGGACCCCCAAGGAACTGCTGTGCTCTGCTGCCTGAGGGGGGCCTCACTGTGGCCAGCGTACTGTGGGGTGTGTCGCTGCCCTGACCCACCGCACTCACCACAGGGAGAACCCGGAGTCCACCGGCCCCTTCCCGGTGCTCGGGCCGCCCTGCGCTGCACGGACATGAGCGCTGCGCAGTCTCCAAGGGACTGGCGTAGAGCGGCTGCACGCTCCAGGAGCCCCTACCAACCTGACATTTCTTAATATGGGCTCGGCTTCCACGACCATGAATTCGACTTTTCAAAGCGTTTTATCTTCAGAATCCCCGGGCAGAACCGCGTCCTGTCACTGGATCCTCATCCCACGTCTTTAATTGTCTCGAACCAAAGCTCTTAGGCTCCTGATCCGCAGCAACCACTGAAGCCTGCACCAGGGTCAAAGTCTGACTAAAAATTAAACACAAGAGACACGTTAAAATCCATCCAGGGCCAACAGGAACTTGTAGACGCCAGAAGGTCCACAAGGGGGAAGCTTCTCGCTGCATCTCTCTGTGGCCAGGCTGGGACCTGCGAGTGAGCAGGGGCCACCCCCAGTAGTCCGAGCAGACAGCGGGGCACAGCCAGGGTGCAAGTCTCCCTCCAGAGGCCTGGCCCCAGCGTCCCCTGCAAGGACTCAGAAATCCTTGTGCCACCAGTGTCCATGACGTGTGAGGTCTGTGGTCAGCTCCACACATTAGTACCTCTCTGCCGACAGCCTCCCGGGCCTGTGACCGCGCAGGGAGAGGGGACTGCAGATGAGGCTTCCAGGAAGGACCAGGGGAGGCCAACTGGGACACAGGCCCCCCTGGCCAGTCCCTGTAGGCCACACCCCAGGGAGAGGCACTCAACTCAGGCACAGCTCGCCTGACAAGGCACAGAGGACACGCATGCACACGGGTCACACACCTGTCAGGGATAGGCTGAGGTTTCAGGAGCGCTCCAGATCCACCCCAAATATGGGACCCCTACTCCCAGCATGAGGACCCCACACCTGGGCTGGCCCCCAAGGCGAGGCTAGACACCACACTGACCAGGACCCACAACACCACCAGTGTGTACCTCAGGAGCCCCACACAGAGCAGGAATGTCACAAGGGTAGGAGGCTGCGCGGATGGACGCGGGGGTTGGCTGCACCCCGCCCCCAAATGCTGGCCACATGGAAACTGGGCAGACGAGCCCCCGCAGGGACCGGCCTGCAGCCCACGCAACCCGGGCAGACCCCTGCTGCAAGCAGCATGTCCACACCTAGGGGGGGTGTCCCGCCGTCCTGCCCTGCAAGCCTGGGCTCCTGCAGGCGTGATTTCTGACTGAGCTCCTCTGTCCCTGCCCCAGCGCGCATGTGCTTGAGAACCCACACTGCAATTGGGCTCAACCACACAGGACCCAGACTGGCTTGTGGGAAGCCACGGCCAGGCCAGCCACGTGCAGCCAGCAGCGACGCCAGGATGTGTGGGGGTGCGGGGCAGGAGGGCAGCTATGTGTGCTGGGGTCTCGGGCCCAAGCTAGGGCCAGTCTGAGCGCTTCTCCCCTCAATTCCTTCTGTGGGTTTCAAGCACCCATACTCCTGACCAGCTCCCAAGTGGCTGAGTACACTGGCTCTCTGCCAGGAAGTGGATGGCTCACAGGCCTTTATCCCCGCGATGGGCCCCACACTGGGCCGCCTGGTCAGAGGGCACTGAAGTCCCCACATGGGAGGAAGGGGTCCCGACAGGTGGCCCAGGGTCCGCAAAGACCCTCAGTTCCATGAGGCTGCATGCCGAGGCCCTTCCCTGGGGCTGGGCCAGACTGCCCAGGCCAGCATCCCGCTCCCCATGCCCCGCCACAGCTTGCCAGAACCGACCACCGGGCAGGGACCACTGGCCAGCTCAGGCCTGGCCAAACTGGCTCCGTCCTGTGCTGCTGGGGGCTGAGCTGTTCCCTCTGTAAGAAGAGGGACCCTCCCTCAGTAGAGGATGTCGGAGCCCCTTCTCTCCCTGTCACTGCAGTCATAGCTAAGAGTCCTTCACAGGCAGGTGAGCGGCAACGGGTGGGCTCCTGGCAGGGGACCGTGACATGCTCTGCCCAGGTCAGACCCACGCCAGTGCTACTCTGAGGTCAGGCACAGATGGCAGGAAGGGGCTCGAGGCCCCAAGGGCCTGAACCCTCCTGACGCACATGAACTTCTCCTCACAAACTTGTAGCTTCAGGACACCTGGCTCAAGAAAATATAAAATGTGGAAATTCGTCCGTGATGGACCCTCCTTTAACTCTGTTCCACAAAGAACATGCCCAATGAGCCACGAAACAAGACACGTCGCTCACACCTCATGACGCAGGACGGGGTGCTCTGTGACAGGATGACGCCCCTGAGAGCTCTCAGGGACCCTCGGGGACCGTCCGGCCCTGGCCTCTATGGGTGTAGGAAGTGGTGGCAAGTGCGAGGTGTCTAGACAGGGAGCGGGCAAGCTGGCCGCCAAGGACACAGGCCACCCTAAGGATGTAGGCCTCAGGTCAGGGGTCAACCAACCTCAGCCCAACAAAGCACTCTGGTCTGGCTGGCTGGCCCAGCTTCCTCAGGGCTTCCCACCCCCGCACAGCGGCGAGTACCCTAGAGCAGGCCCCACGGGAACCCCACGCTGCCAGGCGCCTGCAGACAGTAAGGGAGGGTGGACACCAGCTGCAGAAGACTGGGGCTGCGACAAGGCAGAGGTAGGAGAGAGCGCCACAGAACCCCAGGCCCTGCAAGCCAAGTCTATTCCATCTCGCCAGGTCTCCGCGCTCCTCGGCTTTCCGGCACTGGCCCCATACCTACTCCAATGGCAGCCACAAGACAGCAGTCGCCTCACGCTGGGCAAGACCACAGCCATCCCCTCCACAGAGCCCAGGGCGCTCAGCCTTCCTCAGCCTGGAGGGCCCTGTGAATCATGCTCAGCACATGCAGACGACGGAGAGTTTGGAAGGGGTCACACCAACCACGCAGTCACGAGGCTTTCTGCAGTATTCTTCCTAAATCCTAGAGAAGGACGCACCAGGCATGCCTGACAGCAACCGGAGTCCCCCGCTGAGTCCTCCATGGTCGGCGTGGCCCCAGCAGACAGCACATGCCAGTGATACGTGTGCAGATGGCGGTCTTCTTCGCATCTGCATGCTCATTCCCGCTGATAGGGAGAACCAGACCCCTTGGGCATGTGAGGCATCTCACCACGTGCTCGACCTTGTCCCCTGCTCACCTTTCTCGTGAAAATGATTTCAAAAGGAAGCACTGCTTTGCCAACAGCTGACCGAGGTTCAGAAGCGCACAAGCAGCCTAATGGGCCAGGGTGCATCCCAGGCTGCCTTCCCAGGGGTGGTGACATGTGCCCACCCAGGGGAGCGCAGGCAGCCGTGGGGCCCCAAGATCAGGCCGCAGGTCGCAGGACCCAGCGTGCAGATGCGTGGTGATTCCAGGCCCAAGTTGTACATACACAAAGATGAGCCTGGCTCTTGCCCATCCTGGCCCCAGGGCCCCACAGACAGCATGACCACATCTTAGGGCGGGGGAGGCTGAGTCCAGCCCAGCAACAGCAAGTGACATGGGACCCTGCCATCCACCTGACTGTGCCGGAGAGCGTGAGACCGGGTGAAAACAAGAAGCATCTGGGCTAGTGCTGGGGGGTGTGGAAACACCACAGTCTGCCTTGCTCCTGGAAAAGGCCCAACAGAAGCCCTGCCAGGTGACCTCACGGTGCAGAACGACCACGGACACAGGCAGTAGAGGGGGTACGGCGAAGGACAACGGAAACACATGGGGTGGCCATCACCCAGACGTGGAGGGAAGGCCCCCGCATGCAGTGTGGGGGCTAAGGACAGGGCTGGGGGGACAGGGCCTCATGGCCAGGCCACCGGCACCTGCCATGGGTCTTCTGGTCACCGCTGCCCAACCAGGTCTGAGGTTTTCACTGAAAGCATCTTTTCTCAAGCATTTGCACTGCACGCCTAACCATATGTAAGACAGCTTTGCCCTAAAAGATAAAATCACAAGAACTAAAGGACATTCGTTAAAATGAATGTAATAAAACACAAAAAACAGACAACAAAATCATAGAGAAGTTACTGCAAAATGCTTGCTATTTGAACACATTTAAACTGTGGAGGGCAGGTTCGGGTGGTCCCAGCTAACAACTGGCTGCATTCTGCACCCCCCCCCCCAGGCGGCAGGTGCTGCCCCTGTGAACTCCACCGGGAGCATAGCCATGGTGGCTCAGACCCACACCCCAGGAGGCCATCAGGGGGCTACACATTACAGAAGACCCAAGGGGCACCCTGCCCACACCCCCCCCCCCCGAACCACCCCCCACCCGCCCCCCAGTCAAGGAAGCCGATACAGCTACAGAGTCTGTAGTCATTTTCTTCCAGAGCAAAACGCCCGGCAGGCAGTTAGGGACGCGGTACTCATGCCTGCACCTACAGGAGGCCAGGCCTCTGCTCACCGTCTGCCCCCAGGGGATGGCCCACATTTACAAAGAGACAGCTGATGGACCGACCCTGGGTTGGCCTGTGGCCCTTAGCTCCACTCCACATCTCCCGGGTGCCTGTCCCACAGCCGCTGACATGAGGCTCCTGGGAGCCACCTGCTCCAAACAGCCAGCCCGAGAGCCCCTCGACCAGGGATGGGCCTGAGTGTCAGGGGTGGGGCTCAGAAACCAGCCAGGGGGCCTGGGAGGGTGGGATGCAGGGTGGGTGTCTCATGCCTGTGGCAGGCTGCCGCTGCCCCAGCCCTTCCCCCAGGGTTCCTCTCTGGCCACCTCCGGCCCGATTCTGATGTCTCACTCTGGGTAGACACCTGGGCTGCTCACAGCTTCACCGGAAAAGGGGCTCATGGGCACCAGCTCCATACCTCGCAGGCGCAGGGCACACAGCAGCTCCAACACCCGCAGCTCACAGGGAGTGACTGAATCTGACCACCGCATTGACACGTGCACAGGCTTTATTCCCTTATGATAAGCTGTACACTGAGAGGTGGTGGCCCTGGGGGGCTGGGTGCCCACGGAGGGAGGTGACCAAGCACACACACCTGCACCCCTACAACTCAGTAAGGTGGTGGGGGAAATGCAGTAGTCAGCATGGCTGGCGACACAGGAGGCCCTTGCGGGGAGGTGGGGCATGGGGCAGCGGCAGGACCCCAAACGTGGGCACAGAATTTCAGGTCAGACAGGCAAGTGCTGGTCTGGTGGCAGTGGGAGGGGTCCCACTGCTAGGGGCAGCTGCCTTCAGCATCTTCCTGCCAGTCTACAACTGGTCTCAAAATTCATTTTAAAGACAACAGGCAAGGGAAGGGACCTGCAGCCCCCCAGGGCCTCCCCACCGGTGATTGGGCGATTGGGCGGAGCTCTCCTCGGCTCAGCCCCACCCCCCAACCCCCAGAAGGATTGGGGGTACAGCTGGCACACTCTGCAGACACCTGAGGAGTTTCCCCCTCCCCAGACCAATCACAGCAGCTCCCTGGCACCTACACCAGCAGGAACCCCTGGAGGGTGCGGAGAACCCAGCCCCGCCTGACCTTGGGATCCCATCCCTGGGTGATCAAGCCTCCCCCTTGCAACTCTGACAAGCGTCCACACTCAACACCCAGAATTTGCCCCTAGAGTGCTCCCTGATGCTTCTCCAGCCTCAGAAACTAGGCCATCTCCCACCTGCTCGGGCCCCAGACTCCAGTCTCTCAAACCCCAGAGCAGCCCCCCCCCCCCCCCCCCCCGGTCAGAGGCTTCAGAAAGGAGACCCAGAGCTCGTCACACCCTCAGCATAAACACTAAGTCCTTAGTATGGCTGGCCCCTGCTAGCCCTTCCCTCCACCTCCATGAAGCCAGGCCCTCAGCCACAACAGGCTTCCCATTATCGCTCACAGCCTCCGAGGAAGGGGCTCTGGAAGAGCCGGTGGCAGGGAGACATCACTCCCTACTGTGTGGGAGCCTTTCCCAGAAGACCAGGAGCTCTGCTCCCTGCTCCCTCGGGTGATGGGCTGATGGCCACTGGCACAGCGCTGTCCCCTTAACTCATCGTGAACCAGCAAGGCACTCACTCCCCCACACGTGCGTAAGTCTACTGCAGATGCATGTTCTCATCCAAAGACTCCCACATGCTCTTCTCTCGCACTATTACGTGTGTGCACACGTGTCCTGCTAGCCTGGTGGTACCTCAAAATCCCACGCCCGAGAACCTGGGGCTGAAGGACCGTCACCTTCCTGCCCTCTGCGTGTGACATTCGACAGCTGCTGCGAGGAGACCCCAAGTGGGGACGCGTCTCCCAAGGCCGGGCCTCCCTGCACCACACAGACGTCACAGACTCAGGAAGACCAGAGTTAACGGCTCCGTAGCCCAAAGCAGGCAGCCTGACAAGGGGCCCGGGGGTAAGAAGCGGGGGTCCGACAGGCCAGAGTCCTTGCCTGGGGGTGTCCAAAAAGTGGCCCCACCCGCACTAGGATTTCTTCTCAACTGTCCCAAGTTCCAGTCCTACCAGGCGGTCACCGTCCTCCCAGCCCCAGTTAGGGCCAGGCTGCAGGGCTGGCAAGGACATAAGAACCCCCCCACCAGGGGGCCACAAGAAGAAACTCAGCCTCCCCTTAGCATTAGCATGTGACAAGAAGTCCGTGAGCTCTCTGGCTCGGCAGAACATTGGTGCCCCCCTCAGGACATCCGGGGGCTCGTCGGGGCAGACAAGCACGGGCCCCACGCCAGGGCACAGCCCGTGGGCAGATCCACAGCTGAGCTTCCGCAGACAGTAGTAACATGGGATGTGAAGTTCCGTTTGGGACCTGGAGGCAAGTGCATTGCGGCCTGCCCCCGACCCATACAGATGACGGTGTCAGGGCCAAACACAGCCTCCCCTCCCCCGGAGCCTGCCATGGGTCCTCCTTCATACCACCAGTGCAGGGAAACCAGAAGTCTTCTAGAAAGACATCTGTCACAGGATAAAAAGCCTCATGGTATACAAGCCTTGGACTGGGTAGCTCCTCCACACCCAAGAGCTGCAGGCAGCCAGCAACCAGCCGTGCTCCAGCTGCTCAGACCTGGCAACACTCCAAGGGCACTGGCACAGGGTGCTTCCAGGGCAGGTGAGAGGCCACAGCAAAGAAAGACCATGTCATGGGCCCAATCCTCTGCTCATGGCTGGCTGGCCAAAGGAAGTCACTGCCAATCTCAGCTTCCACCGGGCTGGTGGAGCGCGAAGGCCAGACCCACTCCTGAGCCCCAAGGGCCCTTCTCCTACAGGGATGTGCTCAACTCTGCCCTGGGGTTCCCCCAGTGAACATCTGACAGCTCACCCCATGGCCAAGCCACGTGTACACATGGATAGAGAGAGGGCGGCTCCAACCTCCCAGGGCATGGGGCTCTCAGAACAGTTAGCAGGACCTCAGCAGCTCTGGGCTTCCAGGCACCCACCCCTGTGTGTCCTCAAACTCAAGAAGAGGCTGTAAGGGAAACCCCAAATGCAGCCAGGAGAGGGGGTCCAGGGCTGAGACAAGTCACTCCAGCCACAAGTTCATTTCTCAGAGAGAGGAGGCAGCAACCCGTCCAGGCAGAACAGGCTGGAACCGCACAGACACCCCCAAGGGGGCTGGACGGGACATGCCTGCACACAGCAGACGAAAGTGATGCCCCAGGTGTGCGTCTCTCCCAAGATCTCATAGAGATGCCCAAAGCAAACCATGTGCTCAAAGATAGTGCTAAAACCCAAGTGAGAAGAAACCTGGAAAGCCAATGGAGCAGAGCACATAGCAGGCACCGCCAGGGGCTGCAAGGAGGGGGGACAGACCAAAGCCCGGGTCCAGAGAGAACCTCCATGGCCAACTTTGGCAAAGCTCTGAAGGGCAGAAAGAAGACGAACCATAGATGCCACGTATGGCCAGGATGTCTTCCAGGGACAGCAGGACAATGATGGTGAGCACACACAGCAGCTACGGAAAGCACGGGCCCCTCACCCTGACCCTGTCCCCACCGTGGCCCTGACACCAGACCCCAACACTTGGTAGATGATCACTTGTGATCCTAGATGGCTTCACATGGCCATCTCCACCTTACAGACACTGGTCAACGACTTGGTTGGGATATCCCAGGGATGGGCTTGGGTCTGTGTTTTGACCGTCTCTGATCACTCCCCCAAGAACCTTGGGGATGCCTCCCCACACAAGAGCAGATGGCCTGCGAGGACCCCAGGGTGGGTGTGCACAGATCCAGGTGCCTCCAAGACCTGCACTGCTGGAAGCCAGCCACTCCCAAGAGCTCTCTTGTGTATGTTTTTATACAAACGAAGTCACTGCTCCTGAAGGGGAAGCTGATCCTGGAAAAGGGGATGTGGACGTTCCAGCCATCCCAAGAAGTGGGAGCTGAGTGAGGATTTCATGTCTGTATTCAGACTAACCGGAAGAAAGCCAATCCTGTTCAGCTTCTGGATGGCAAATGGTTCCTCTCTCCCCCAACCAGAAGGTTAATCTGTCCTAAACCACGGGGAAAATGATCGCTACAAAAGGGTCTGGCTACTGGCCAGATTCCGGGCTTCTCCAAGATGCTGCCAGCGTGAAGGCCGTCCTCCCGGGCATGCCCAGAGGTGGTGCCCTCATTTCTCAGCAGACGGGCAGAGGACTGGGCAGGGCACCCAGCCAGAGAAAGATCTAACCTCCAACGCGGAGGCTCAGGTGTGGCTGCAGGGAGCCCAGGCTCCGATGGCCCGGCAGAGGGGAGGAAGAGGAGGAGCGGCGGCCGCGGGCCCACCCAAGGCCGGCCCCTCCCCGGCCGCCCCCGGGAGCGCCCCTGTGGACGAGGCCCCAGCCCGGGCAGCTGGAAGTGGACCAGGAACTGCAAGATGGCCCCCGACGCTCGGGCTCGACAGGGGCACCAGGCACCGAGCGGGCCAGCGAGCCAGGACTCACCCGGCGCGTCCCCCGCTGGCCCGCCGCCCCCAGTCGCAGGCCCCCCGTGTGGTCCGGAGCGGCCGCCAGGGGCCCGGTCACCCTTCAGACACCGAGGGGGACAGTTGCCGTGGGGGCAGCAGAGCCGGGGCCACCGCTCCGAGCGACTGCGGGGGCGACGGGAGAGCCAAGGGCGCGAGCGGCGACCAGGGCGCCGAGCTGGGATACGTGCGCCCGGGCCGTCCTCCCCACCGGCGCGGCCTCCTGACTGTAAACGTGCGGCAAACAAGAGATGCCGCGGTGCGGGGCCGCCCGGGGGCACGCGGGGCTCGAGGCCCGCACGCAGCCCGCGCCCCGCCGGCCCACGCCGGCCCCCGA